TTTAGATAGTAGTCTTAAACCGATATTTGGATAGTAGTCTTATACTGATATTTGGATAGTAGTCTTATACCGATATTTGGATAGTAGTCTTATACCGATATTTGGATAGTAGTCTAATACTGATATTTGGATAGTAGTCTTATACCGATATTTGGATAGTAGTCTTATACTGATATTTGGATAGTAGTCTTACACTGATATTTGGATAGTAGTCTTATACTGATATTTGGATAGTAGTCTTACACTGATATTTGGATAGTAGTCTTATACCGATATTTGGATAGTAGTCTTATACTGATATTTGGATAGTAGTCTTACACTGATATTTGGATAGTAGTCTTATACCGATATTTGGATAGTAGTCTTATACCGATATTTTGATAATAGTCTTATACTGATATTTGGATAGTAGTCTTACACTGATATTTGGATAGTAGTCTTATACCGATATTTGGATAGTAGTCTTATACCGATATTTGGATAGTAGTCTTATACTGATATTTGAATAGTAAACTAATCCTCACCAAGTACATTGAGTGGCTGCTCTTTATAATGTCTCTCCAGTACCGCGTTGAGAATGTAACTGCGGTCCATGCTGTACTGGGTGATCTGAGCGGGTGTTGCCCCAGGAGGATATGCCTGCTTGGGGATGCTGGAAAACCGCAGCTCTGTGCCTTCCCTCTGCTTCATCCGCGGCAGCCGGTCCAGGCCCTCCTTCATACTCTGGCACTCCTGATCATTGCGGGACAGGTTCTGCTGGACCCGATCTTTAGTGTGAGTCAGCTGCAGCTCCGGGATGACATCGCTGAAAGCGCACACGCGTCCGCTGAGGGGCTGCAGGGCCACGGCCACCTCCTGACTGAGTCTGTCAGTGAGAGAAACCCACTTGCGGAGGGTATCATAGGGGTACGGCCCTAAATACCGGTCCAGCTCTTTCAGATTGCCCCGTACGCGCTCCACCTCCTCCGAGTTCTGAGAGATCTCCAAATCATCTGCGCTCTTGTTCCAGTGCGCTACAAGCACCTGCCGAGGCTTCAGGGACAGGAACAGGCCAGTTTTGGGGCTGATTTCCCCACAGCCTCCATTGGTGCTGACGGAGCAGTAGTGGAGGAAGTGAAGCCCCGGGGGAATCATCTTCACCCCGCGGAAACGAGGACCCAAAGTCCATGTTTTGTAGTCGAGTCCCAGTTCGGTTCCCTCAGGAACTCCAAGCAAAACCAGCGTGGCGCCTTCTTCAAACAACCCTCGGGCCACTTCAGGGTCCATGTCTGTTCCCGCCATATCTGCAGAAAATAAATAGATTGAGGTAGGGTTGCGCAATTTGGGGAAAATATCTAATTGCAATTTTTTTGACAGACATTGTGATTGCGATTTGATTTACGATTTAATTCAAGCTTCAAGCTGATTTTATTTAATAATAATAATAATAATTCCTTACATTTATAAAGTGCTTTTCTGGACACTCAAAGCATGTGTAAAGTGCTTTTGGGGGAATCTCCTCATCCACCACCAGTGTGCAACATCCACCAGGATGATGCGACGGCAGCCAATTGCGCCAGATGGCACATGGTTGAAGAGGAGACAGAGATGATGCCAATAAGGGCATGGGGAGGGTTAAGAGGCCATGATGGACAAGGGCCAGTGGGCAGATTTGGCCAGGATGCCGGGGTTAATGTCCTTTTTCGAACGACATCCTAAGATTTTTAACAACCACAGAGAGTTGGGGCCTCGGTTTAACATCTCATCCGAAAGATGGCGCTCATTGAGCAGTATAGTGTCCCCGTCACTATACTGGGGCATTAGGTCCCACACAAACCACAGATTGGGCGCCCCCTGCTGGTCTCACTAGCACCCCTTACGGCAGAAACCTAGCTTTCCCATGTGGTCTCCCATCCAAGTACTGACCAGGCGCAGCCCTACTTAGCTTCAGTGGGCGACCATGTGAGAGTTGCAGAGAGCTAGCTGCCGGATTTAATTCAAGCTTCAGCTCAATAATTTGTTAGCCGTGGCAACAATTCTGTGACAGCTCTTAAAACGTGCCCATTTTGGTTCGTTGTCTGTGACTTTGAAACTAAAATACTCCCATATAACAAATGTTGTTTTTCTTTAATATTAAATTTACTATTAATGCTTCTGAAGCAGCAGATGCCATAGGCCCCCTTGTCAGAGCTTTCCTGTTTGTTTCTTTTTTTATTGTGGGGTAGTTCAGTTGCGCGATTCTGATTGGGCAGAACGAAAAGTGTGCTCACTCAATTGGCTAGTTGTAAAGCCCCCGGACACATCACACGATTTCGGCACTATTTCCTTGATGTAGGGTGTCATGGGTAGTCGTAAACGACAATTGGGCATCGTGACACAAGATTCAATCGTTTCCCCTCATGTAATGGCATAGTTCACGACAACCCATACCATGTCATCGATACCTCACCTCGCCATCGCAGAAAGTCTGGCATTTTTAATTTTCTGAAGCAAAGCAGATTGGTATTAAAGCACTTCACCTCAGATGTCATTTGTTATTTTTGTTATATACAGTTGAAGTCAGAATTATCAGCCCCCTTGAATTATTCGCCCCCGTTAATTTTTTCCCCCAATTTCTGTTTAATGGAGAGAAGATTTCTTCAACACATTTCTAAACCTAATAGTTTTAATAACTAATTTCTAATAACTGATTTATTTAATCTTTGCCATGATGACAGATCACAACATTAGACTAGATATTTTTCAAGACACTTCTATACAGCTTAAAATGACATTTAATGGTTTAACTAGGTAAATTAGGTTAACTAGGCAGAATACCCAGCCATTCATTCATTTTCTTTTTGGCTTAGTCCCTTTATTAATTCAGGGTCGCCACAGTGGAGTAAATCGCCAACTTAGGTTTGGGTAATTAGGCAAGTTATTGTATAACGATGGTTTGTTCTGTAGATAATCAAAAAAATATATAGCTTAAAGGTGCTAATAATTTTGTCCTTAAAATGGTTATTTAAAAAATTAAATCTGCTTTTATTCTAGCCGAAATAAAGCAAATAAGACTTTGAAAATAAGAATTTTGAAAATTTCCTTGCTCTGTTAAACATCATTTGGGAAATATTTAAAAAGAAAAAAAAAAACTTAAAGGGGGCTAATAATTTTGACTTCAACTGTATATATATATAACATATATATAACATATATATATATATATATATATATATATATATATATATATATATATATATATATATATATATGTATGTATGTATGTATGTATGTATATATATATATATATATATATATATAAATTATATTGCAGCGATCAATTGATTGCAACATTTCAAATTGCGATTCGATTTTGATTAATCGCAAAACCCTAGATTGAGGTGGAGTTTTTCACTTTTGAACGGTGACAACTTGTGACACAGTCCCTATCTTGTTTACCATGTTACTTTGAATATTCAGTCTGAAACTGTCACATGAAAGAAAGACTTCAAAACAACATTTGTTATTTTTGTTATATATACAGAAATGCTGTTATACTTGTTTTATATAAGAAAGACTTCAAAACACATTAGGACCATTTAACTGATTGTAAACAATGTTATACTTTATAGTCACTGGCTGATAATATAATTTCCCTATTTAGAATTTACAAAGAAAAATTTAACTGAAATTATATTATTAAGGAGAAAGTCAGAATGTGCGAATATAAAACAAACTGTACCTTAATGTAAAATAGATTCAACGCTGTCGCTGTACTACGCTGTCGAGTAACTGCAAACACATTACAAGGAATGTTATTTTCATACAATACGGCAAAAAATAATTGTCATCTTTAGAAAGGTAAGTTAAGCATTGGAAAGCCTAAAATTACACATAACATATTATATCATATAAAAATAGTGGTGAAATTGCATTATACAAGTAAACTAGACAATGTTTCTCAATTATATAATACATTATATTGAAAATGTCTTTTATATTATCAATTGTCTATGTATAAATATTACTTTGTCAGCTTTAGGACGTTGTTCAACTTGAAATACAATAAATACAACGTCAAACACTTGAATTACATTAATATGAACATGCGGAAACTGTACGAGTAAGCTTGAACAAATGTTTCCAGAGAATAATACGAACAACAACCAATAGTAAGTCGAGTGTAAGAAAAACATATCATATGATATATCATAAACATACGTGCAAAACAGTAATTAAATATACCTGAACGACAGCGATCACAACTCCAAATTTCACTACGTAAGGGCCATGTGTGAATCAAAAAAGATACTTCCGCTTTTCTAAAGTCAAAATAAAAGTCATTCACTATTTTAAGTTCCAACGTTTGGAATTTGGATCTCTAAGAATGCTTTATTAATTTTGTTGAGTTTTAATAACGCTAGTAGATTGTTTTATAAGCATACTCACCATTTATTTTTCAGTTAAGGTCCCAAGTTTTCTTATTACTTTTTGAAGTGGGCCGTGTTACTCAACCACGTTCCTGGAGGACCATCTGCTCTGCACATTTTCCCATGTCTCCTTAACTAAACACAAATGATCCTGATCATCAGCTCATTATCAGAGACAGAAGGACACAAAACAAAATTTTAAGTATTTTTATTAATTTCTGATTTCAAAACAGAGCAACTGTGAAGACATCTCAACTGCTGAAAATGTACTAAATGTATGTAAAGTTATCTATATCTGTATCCCATGTCATTTCAAATAATTAAAGAACATATATATATTACAAATACATATGATAGTTATCAACTAAAACATACTATCTGTTATATTTGTTTAACAGTAGTGCTGTCAAAATATTTACGAGTAATCATACTTAATAACGATTAATCACATCCAAACCAAATGTTTATTTACATTATATATCTCTACTGTGATTTTATATATATATATATATATATATATATATATATATATATATATATATATATATATATATATATATATAATTGTATTTATTGGTTTATTTATTTAACAATTTTAACATAACGTTACAAGGGGACTTTTACGACGTTACTCTCCTTTGTAGGGCGCTTCAGAGCTTCCGACACAGATCGTAAGCGGGTGTGAATGTAGTGGGGCTTTCATGACAGAATAGTGTGAATTTGCCCGAGATCTGCTTTTTCCCTGCGAGCCTCTGCAGTGACCAGGAGTGATTAATAAGAGCGATGGGCTTCCGCAAGAAGAACAAGAGTCCGCCGGTGCTCAGCCATGAGTTTGTCATCCAGAATCACGCGGATATGGTGTCGTGTGTGGCCATGATCATCCTGCTGGGACTCATGTTTGAGGTTACTATTCCCCATTAAACTCACCTCACACCACACTCCACTGCAAACATCAGCTTATTATTTACTCGTAGATGCTCATAATGACTGAAAAAAATCATTAAATCTGCATCATACTGCATGTCCATCATGATTGAGGTTGTTTCCTATTCAGCTCATCATCTCATGATGTGTTCAGCAGCACATTCCAGTTTCTTTATTATCATACAGTAACGTAAAATTAGTCTGTTATCAACATTTAACTAGTTTCATATAGCATTCATATAGCAAATAATTATTGCTTCCTATTCAGCTAATTCTATAACTCCATCAGCAGCACAATTGTGATTAACATAAATTTAAAACATAATGTAAAGATATTTAATCAGTGTATAAAGCCGTATTCTTCCCATTTAAGGTTATTTACTGGTCAAATGATTCATCGTCAACAAAATATAAGTTTGTAAAATGTGGGATAGAGGTAAAGTTGGTTTTATATTCAGATATTCAGACATTCTCTTTAATAATATAATTTCTGAAAGGTATTATTTGCAAATTCTAAATTGGGATATCATATTAGCAGCCAATGACTATCAAAGTGCAACCATGTTTACTAGAGGTGTAACGATACACTCGTAATGTGTATCACGATGTGTATCACGATACAATGTGTATCACGATATAATGTTCACGATTCGATATGTATCACGATATTGGGAATAAAAAATTAAATGAAACTGAAATGCAAATTTTATTAAAAAATGTTTTTTGAATTACCAAGTCAACTATTTTTTATGGATTTCTTTTGTTTCAACTTCTTTCGTTTAAACTGAACCTTCTTTCAGAAAATAAATTAAATAGGCCTGTCTCTGGAAAACAAAACAATTTAAAAACTTTATATAAAATATTATTAAAATGACAGAGACAAAATTAGGGAACAATTTAAGTAAAGGTGCACAAATAATAATAGCTTTCTACTCGAATAATAGCTTTCTATTCAATTGAATTTAACAGTAAGAGCTTAAGGCTTTGCTTGGTCACTTGCGTTTTTTGTGTGTGCAAAAAATAAAAAAATCTACATTTCCAGATAGTCAGCAGTTCTATAAGATAATCCTGAACTTATGTGTATCTGGCTGAGAGGTTTTTATGGATGACTGTCTTGTTGGGCACGATGAGTGACAGATGTTGTAACACAGATTTCTTCATGTAAACAACATACCGACTATAAACCATCAAGATCCTGGCTTGACAGCCATATTTATTACAGAAATAAAAACGCAGGCATGTTAATGCCATTTGAATTTCAAAACAATCAATGCAAATAAAGAAAAAATAGATTTTCAAGTTGAATTCTAAGTGGACTGCAAAAAACAGCCAAAATACAGGCGTTACACATATGGAAAATGGAAAATTATAATACTAATAAAGTATTGGATACAAATAATTGAATCATTGGCTTCTGCTGTCTTCATTAAGGCTGATTTATACTTCTGCGTCAAACGCCGGCGTATGCTACGGCGCTGACGCATAGCCCTTCGCCGTGGCCGTTGCTGACGTGCACCTCTCAAAAAATGTAACTACACGTCGCAACGACGCATAGTGCAAGCTCTGTGATTGGTCGGCTTGGTAGCGCTGACGAGTCTGGGCGGGACCGAGAGTCGCGAGGATGGTGCGAGCGATTGTTTACAAGTGTGGAGTACCGTGAAGGAGCTCCGGGTGGAAAGTTTTGTTTTGTGTTTACCTCATAGTTAAAGTTGTTGCACGTCCGCTGGTTCCTGCCTCAAAATGAGCGAGTTTGAGCCACTTGTACATCCCGGAAGTGTTCAGGAAAAGCAAAACAGCAGCGAAGAAACTCGACACAGAGGAACATTTACACCTCACTGCCAACTAGCGTTTCGGAAGTGTTAATGCAGACCGACAGAGACAGCGCGCAGAAGTATAAATGCACAGCCACGTGCGATGCATGCGTCGTGGGTTACGCCGGTCACCTGACGCAGAAGTATAAACCAGGCTTTAGTTTCAAAAACACTGATTACTTTACAATTTTAAACAGCATCTTTGGATATTTTTTTCAGAAGCAGGATATCATTTAGGAAATAATTTATTGTGATGTTATATCATGACTGTGTGTGAAATTATGATAAAAATATATAGGTAACACTTTACAATAAGGTTCATTGGTTAATGCATTTACTAACATGAACTAATCATGAACAACACATGTACAGCATTTATTAATCATAATTGAACATTTACTAATGCATTATTAACATCCAAGTCCATGCTTGTTAACATTAGGTAATGCACCATGAGTTAACATGAACTAACAATGAACTACTGTATTTTCATTAACTAACGTTAACTAACATGAACAAATACAGTAGAAAATGTATTGTTCATTGTTTGTTCATGTAAGAAGATGCGTTAATTAACAATAACTAATGAACCTTAATGTAAAGTGTGACCAACATATAAACATCAATGTTACATTTTGGGTTATTTCATCATTTATATAAAACATGATCATCAAATTGGCATTACTGTTTTATTTGTTCCGCTGACTCCTGCTTCTGAGTAGGGGCTTGGAGAGTCTTTGAATTATGGTGAAGATTAATTTAACTTATTTATTTATTTATGCTTACTTATCTCTTTTTGTACTTGAAGAAATTTGGTCACAGCACCAAACCTACCTGGAAGAGATCAGTGAAACACGTACAGAAATTGATATATTGCATTACATTTCTCTCTACTGCTATACACATATACACATTAAATAAAGGAAGCGTAAAAGTGCCTGGCCATGTGATTTTTTTCTTTGCTTCCTCACAAAAAAAGTGAAACCATCTGACAGTCATTAGACAAAACCAATGTGAGCTGTTATACTGTCTGGACTTGCTCTACATTTAAACTGTGTTAAGGGGAAAAAGTTCTTTACATATATATTTTTTGTAAATATGCTCATTTTACAGCTCCCCTAGTGGTAAACATTTGACTTTAACAATTTTTGAATCCATTCACAGAGTCTCTGCAGGGTCTTAAAATGTCTTAAATCTCAAAATCCTAATTTTAGGCCTTAAAAAGACTTAAATATACTGAAGTATTGTGTTGTAGACCTTAAATATTTTTTAAACAGGTCTTGCCAAAACCCATAGAATCATCAACAATCAGCTCAACAAAACTTTAAACTTTTTATTTAGAAAGGTAATTTTTAACTTTATTAATCATAATGGTTTAATTATTTTCCCTACAATAACATTTGTTTAAATGTTCTTCATGTATTTAGTGCTGAGGACACTGACCTGGACAGATTGTTGTGCATAGATTTAGTTTACTATAGTTTTTAAAACTTTAAAATCATTTGTTCGTTTTTCTTTTCTTTTAAAGAAAGTTCATGTTGTAAAAAAAATACACAATATTTAAAATCTTTTGTTAAAAAATAAAAGTAGATTTTTTTTTTACTTTTTTTTAATATTAATGTATTATTGTATTATTAAATGTATTAAATTATTTAAAAAAATTGATAGGGCAAATAAAATTATTTTCCATCTGGGCTATTTGAAAAAATTCTTAATCTATAGCCTTTTATGGGTCTAAAATTCCATTCATAATGGTCTTAAAAGTGTCTTTAAAATAACTGAGTGAAACCTGCAGAAACCCTGGTTCAGCTGATCTCAGGTTTTAGCTTAGCATAAATCATTGAATTAGATTAGACCATTAGCGTCTTGCTCAAATATGATAAAGTAGTAGGCGGTTTTGGAGAGAGGAAAAACGTTACCTTGTTGGTAATATATCCACAAGATGAGCATGTCGTAGTTTAGCTAAATTTATTCACGCCTCCTCCTGAAGTGACGAGCGATGCATTAAAACATTACTTTCCAGCCGCGGCCGCATTTCGAAATGTATAGTTTGTCTAAAGCAGGGATACAATCAGTCAGTGTAGTCGTCCATCCAGGCCCGGATTGGCTAATCGGGAGGACCGGGAGAATTCCCGGTGGGCCGGTCCGTTTTTTGGCCGCGAGGGCCGGTGTTCCTAGTTCCAGAATCTGTTGCTCTTAGCAGTCACACTTTTTAAAAATAATTTATTGATTTACTTGACCACAGTCTTCTTATTCATTATTTTACCGCAGCTCTGCTTTTTTATCTATTTTCTCGTAGCCTCGTGAGCAGGGTGCAGCCTGATGATATAACTAGATAAGTCACCATTCAACGTACAGCTGTTGTGGTACAGTGGTTAGTACGTTAGATTATGACGCGGCCAACCTGGGTTCGGTCCTTGTCTGAGTAACAATTTTTTTTTTTTTCATTTTTATTGTTAAGACATATAATACTGTTAGGGTTGTTGAACATTTGAAGTTCTAAAAGAGCTGTTTTCTCAAAAAAAAAGACGTGATAGTGTAATTAGAAACTGAATTGGAAATAACCTTATTTTAATATAATCAGTGGTGAACTGAGGTGGGCCGGTCTAAGGCTTGAAACTCCAGGGCTGAAAAAGACTCCCACTCCGGCCCTGCGTCCATCCATAGTAAAATGTGACATTTTGTGTCTGTGTTTGTTTACTTGCGGGAGGTCATTGGCATTTTCCCACACGTGAATTCTGACCAATCGATAAGCAGTTTGGGAACTATGTTTAACAACATCTGGCCAATGAGAGATGAGGATTTTGTCAGATGACTGCATTTTAGTTTTTTTCAACTGGTTCGGACCAAAGCCAGCAGTATGGTGTAAAAACGACCCAAAGATGGCAGAAAATGCTACGATGTATCATTTATTGCCCTTGGTCCGGACCAAATAAAGCGAACTACAGATGTGAAACGACCCTTAATATTCGAGAGTGTGTTCTAATTTTGGTTGCACAAACTGTACTGCGTGCAATACTGCCATCAAATGGTGTTTGCTTGTATTGCATCATTATTTACGAATTCTGAAACCAAATTGTTACTCAGGAGCAGCGTTTTAAAAACTCCCTCACGGGCCGGATGTAAGTGTTCAGCGGGCTGCAGTTTGCCAACCTCTGGTCTAATCTGATTCAATGATATATGCTAAGCTAAGCTAAAAGGGCTCCCGCCAGACCCAGTGTTTGGCTGTATGCATTAAAAAAATTGTACATTTCAACAGTTTCACTTTAGGACAGTTGTACAATTCGCCTCTTTCCCAAAAAAAAAGCATCCTAAGTGATCTTGGTAAATGTTAAAACGTCTAATCTATGATTCTGTACTTGTAGTGATGCTTTTGTATCAGAATGGCAAAGAAATATATGATGTGTTACAAGTGAAGTGATTTTTAACTTTTTGTTACGGCCTGTTTGTACATGTATTGATCAGATTTTTTCCCTTTATTGCAGGTCACAGCCAAATTTGCCATCATGTTCATCACAGTGCAGTACAATGTCACCCAAAGCCTGGATACTGGTATGCTCGTTTTGGCGATTGTCGCTTTATATTCAAATGAGATGCTATTTTCAATAAAGGGCGGGGCTACACAGGCCTATGCATCAGTATAGTGGCTAAAAAAGTAAAAACTGAAAATGTCAAAAAAAGTGTCTCAGAAGTGGGCAGTCTATGGAGACTACAGCGTTCATTTGTGCATCTAAAACTACATTTATAGTCCTCAAACGAGAGATGGTCACTAATTGTTAGGGCTTTCCCCTTCTGATGACACGTACAAAGGAAAAATGTCAATCAAAGTGTTTCTGCTGAGTGTATTTATCAAGTGTGATTAGAAAAAAAAATAAAAGTAATATATTTAGCATTAGAAGCTGGTTATATTCACAGACTTTTGCCACACAACCGTGGTTAAACCTCTTATATAAGTAATCTTTGCATAATAGATGCCCCTTTAATTTATGTCATTGACAAAATCTTGCCAAATAATTGTCTGAAGCATTCAGATTCTAGCACACAGACATCTTGATTCAAAATTGAAAGCATTGGCTACTAAAATATTAGCAGCTTGTGGCTATTTCGCCCAATTCACACTGGCCATCAGTGTCAACATTTCCCATTCACTTTGAATGAGTAATGTCAAGCATTGCTGAACTAAATTGTGGACCCGTAGGTGCCGCTTCAGCAGCATTGGTCACAGCAGAAGTTGGGAATTTGTCGACTTTTCAAATGGAAATTTGATGGAAGCAGCAACCAATCAGACTGCTTAATGCAAATACCCTAGCTCTGACAGTAGCCAGTAGCCAATTGCGGACTAATTTCATTGGCTGATGCTGCAATGACCATAACAATAAGTAGGGGGAGGGGGGGGTCACTTGGTAATTTCCAAAAATCAAATTCATTTTATTAAACTATTAGAATTACCATATTTTAACCTTAACCTACAGAAGAATAATATAGTAGTTACAAAAAAAAAACATGCAAATAAAATGCCATCAGCCTTTCTTTTTTTTTTTTTTTTTTTGAGATCACTGGGGTCATTATATTAAAGACACAGCACATTGATTTTATGGCAACGGGTTAAACTTTTTAACACCTTTATGTCACTCATGTACATTAAAAATAAATACAGGCCACAACTGAACATGGGGGATGGTCTCCGAGTGGCGTTCTTCAAAATTAAATTGTGTTTAGACTTAGGCCAATTGGTATGTGTGCGCCAGTGTGTAAGGTTTATATATTTATTACCACCTCAGAGGATATTGGGGGTCACGAGTCACTAGCATTGTAATTTTGGGCATCATAGACTGAAAAGTTTGGGAACCCCTGATCTAGTTGAGACAGTTAGTGGAGCCAGGTTGGAGCCCTAGGGTCCTATCTTAAAACCAGCGCAATAGGCCATTTCTAGACCAGCACAACAGTAGTTTTCACTTTTTGCGCTATGTTGTCTATATAGCAAATCCATTTGCGCCACTTTGTGTACTCTTGTGTGTGCTGGTCTAGAAAGAATGTGTGTTAAGGTGCATTGTTGGCGCGTTGCTATTTTGAGGAACTAAAATAGACACCACTGACCAACTAAAAGCAGGTCTAAAGTCCAGCAAAGAGCGCATTAGTTATGTGCCTATACGGTCCAAACGCTTACACTTTGCTTAATACACACAGGATGTACAGCAATACACGCATTTCTTTACATATGAAAAAAATTACAGGATTAAAATGTTACAAAAATTATTATTTTCTACAAAAAACACTGCCTCCATGCCTTCATCTCAAGGGGCTTTTTCAGTTTATTCATGACAGTTTGCATTTGTATATTGTTATTATTAGCAGTATTATTTATTATATGCATATTTATATTTGTTTAAATAAAAACAAGTTTAGATTTGTCCACCTGTCAGGTTTTGGAGAAGTCTGCATCATCATATGGGACATAAGAATAGGACGTGTGTTTGTATATAACTCAGTTTTTTGACCACACTTCATTATTAATGTTCAATTATTAATTTGCTGGAAATTAGAACTGAATGTAGAAATAGTTTTGAAACAATCTTTGCGCTTAACAAACAAAATTAAATATGTAGGCTAATGGATGTCTTCAGCGGAGTGCATACAACACTGTTTCCTTACTCCACCAAAGTAAAGGAGTAAAAAGAAAGAGAAAGTAAAGAGGCTGAATGGAGGAGGCTTGTTCTTTATTCTCGCGCTGCAGATGGTCTGTTAACAGTTTTCTCACTAGTAATGCGTTCCGTTTTTCCACTTACAAAGTGCGACATGTAAATAGCAAATGTGCCATGGCGTGACACAACTGATTCTTAGAGGGAATGGGAGATGAGACTCTGATTGGTTAATGCACATTATGCACCCATAACCCATTAGGAGACTAAGCACAGCTTTGTTAGACCATGCGCTGGGGCGCAGAGCGTATTTTTCCATCCTTAAAATAGTAAAAGTGGATTCAGACATGCCCTTAATGCTTTTGCAAAATATGCTTTAGACTTTGCACCTATATCATTAAAATAGAGCCCCTTTAACATTTGCTCTTACTTGACTTTGATTGTGGCGACTGTGTTTGATTCAGATGTGGAGGACAAGCCTGACCCTGTGAACTTCTACAAGTATGGCGCCAAGGACATCGCAACCGTGTTCTTTTACCTGCTCATCGCTATTATTCTCCACGCCCTCATTCAGGAGTACATACTCGACGTGAGTCCCCTCTTTAACTCTTTCTGCTTTTCAGTCTGAGTAGCTAAAAGAGAAATACTTGCTCAGTGAGCAACAACTAGCCTAAGACAAGTTCTGAGGTCAGTCTCAGTCAACTGTAGGGGTGATTTTGCCTTGCCCTAACTTTTGTTTGACTGAAGTCGTTTAAGCAGATTTCCACGACAGTCCTCTCAGTGCTGTAACCTGATTCTGCTTTGACAGAAAATCAATCGTCGGCTCCACTTGTCCAAAACCAAACACAGCAAGTTCAACGAGTCTGGACAGCTGGCCACTTTCTACCTGTTCTCCTTCATCTGGGGCTGCAGTATCCTCACTAATGTAAGAGCGCTGCACCTCACTGTTTTATACACGTTTTCACAGAATAACCAATACACCTGTTTTTTTTTATCGTTATTATCAACAGGAGGATTTTGTGATGAATCCAACTTTCCTTTGGGAAGGATATCCGCACATCCACATGGCGTGAGTGTGAAATAGTCTGAACTCTGAAAGTTCAATAAGATGCTTGTGTAGACTGTGGTCGCCGGACGTTGCTTACTCTCTGTTGAAATGAATAGTCGATTTGGGCATCACTCTCGTAGTGTGAATGCAGATTTAGCAATGAAGCTAGAGTTACCGGGCAGACATGACGCGAATCCGCATCTATTGTGAAGTGAATTTCACGAGCGAATGAAGCACGTAAACTCCAAATGTTCTCAACTTCAAATGTTGCCATACACTCTAATAGACTTCAACACTTTAGTTTCCCCTCGCCAGTCATTACTTTATTAATATAACATAACGGTCATTTTAACCTCTGTGCAGCGTACTGTGTGTTTAGGTGCTGAAGTATCGTTAATAAAAATAATTGGTTAAACCTATGACTTTATTCACGCATCCACATACATAAAGAAACATTACTTAGATTGTCTTAATTGTAGAATCGAGTGTAATAAAATAATTCAGGATCTTAATGTTGTCTTATTTAGTTTACAATTAATTATATTATAAATAAATAAATAAAATTAGATGACATAGTTTTTCCGACCAAATAACGGCACATTGTTATCGTCCATAAACTAAATTTAAATATTTAATCTTAAAAGTTAATTAATTTACATAATCATTTTGTAGTAAAATATTAAAAAACTTAATAGTTCGTCACATTGAAAGGAATTTTATTCGATTTACTCGTTAGAACCCTCAGTATTATTAACCCACCTGTAATTTTTAAATATTTCCCAAATTATGTTTAAAGCTTGTTCAGATCACACTATTTTCAGTCACTATGTTGGATTATGCGATTTGTTTTTGTTAGAGCAAAACAAATCATCCACCCGCACAACTGAGAAGTGGTCGGGCACAAACACAAATATAATTTGTACACTCTTTTTGGAAGAAATATCTTTTTGAAACAAATTTTGTTCGCTATCATTTTTGTCTTCATTTTAATGTATCTTTTGTTGGTCAGTTATCTATAAACAAGAATAACAAATAACATCTGAGGTGAAGCACTTCAAAACGAGTCCGCTATATGCTTCAAAGCATGAATTACCTTGAGATTGTGTTGGTTTGTTAAATAAAATAATAATCTAGCCTAAATTAAATTAAAGTGAAATAATCACCGTTTTTATTAAGCTTTTATTAAACAGTTTTAGCTATTAATCACAAATTTAAATAAGCAGGAAATGTTTTGCACTGTATTCGCAGCGCTGAACATGTTCCCAGATGACCTCGGAAGAACAAACTTTGTTGGAAGGATGAGAGAACTCAGACACTCTTTGTGAGAATGGAGATGTCTGCATATTTGTGCCAGTCTGTCAGATAAAATTGCTTAAACATTCGTAATATTTTAGAAAGGTTTTTATTACTAATGATTGATCTCATCCACCCGTGACCCACCCATAAGAAAATATACAGCCTATTTTTTGATTACCTGACCGGTGCATTAATGGCAGTACCCGCTGATATAACCGAAAAAATGATGTGCTCCTATTGCAAAGTGCCCCCCACGTGACGGAACTGAAACATGCTAGACTTTCTGCGATGATGTCTTGAGGCTTCGCAGGCATGGTATCAGTTGTCATGAACTATGCCACATTACACAAAAAGAAACGATAGAATATTGTGCCCATTTGTCGTTTACGAATCCCCACGATAACCCTATATCAAGGAAATCATGGCGAAATCGTGACATTTGTGTGATCTGCCCAGGCCTTAACAGAGCAAGGAATTTCTCACAGTATTTCCTATAATATTTTTCTTTGTAGAAAGTCTTATTTGTTTTATTTCGGCTAGAATAAAAGCATTTTTTATTTATTTTTTAACATTTTAAGGTCAATATCATTAGCCCCCTTAAGCAAAATTGTTTTGGAGTGTCTACATTACAAACCATCGTTATACAATAACTTGCCTAATTAACATAGTTAGGCATTTAAATGTCACTTTAAGCTGAATACTAGCATGAAAATTATGTAGTAAAATATTATTTACTGTCATCATGGCAAAGAAATCAGTTATTAGAAATGAGTTATTAAATTTATTATCTTTAGAAATGCGTTGAAAACAATATTCTCTCTTTCAAACTGAAATTGGGAAAAAATATATACACAGGCTAATAATTCAGACTTCTACTGTATATGTCTTAATATTTTGTATGTGAATTATTCTCATTCTCAGTCGTGTTTCTGTCTCTCAGTTTCCAGGTGAAGTTTTTCTACATCTGTCAGATTGCCTACTGGTTTCACGCTCTTCCTGAACTGTATTTTCAGAAAGTACGAAAGGTGAGGCTTGCTTCCTGACACTCTTGTTCACCATGCCACTTATGTAATTCATTTTAAAATGTTTTAATTTGTTGTTTTCAGGAAGATATTCCACGGCAGCTCTACTACATTTGCCTTTATATATTCCACATCACTGGTGCCTACGTCCTTAAGTGAGTTTTCACTTATTTTTTTTATATTTTTACAAGAGACAGGATAGTGGTCTTGCTGAAGAAACCTGGAATGATAGTAGCTTCAGAAACAACTGTGGAGATTAGGGCTGCACGAAAATGAGTCATGTTTTATTTTGGTTTTTGCTTAAAATAAAGATCACGATTTTCTCACAATTGTGTAAATTTAAAATAAAGGTCAATATAAGTGGGCTATTATTATTGTTATTGCTCAAACATAATAAAACAACAGCAATAATAATAATAGGCCTGTGTGTAGGTCTACTGTTGGTTCAAATGCTAAATTTTATATAGACTTTGAATGGTGGACTTGAACAGATGCAGCAATTCCAGAAACGGTTTTGTACGCCATGATTTTGTATAAAATTCACTATTGTGTAATATGACTAAAAAGTGGTCAAATTGTGACCTTGAACCTTGGTAAAACTGGCTTAAACCAGACTTGTGTTTTTAAGACAGTTTCTGCAGTTGTTATGAATTCTCTGGGGTTGGCAAACGCACTGAAATCTTAGCAAGTACTTGCTTTACAAACTTTTCAGAGAATTTATTGATGATTCCAAATATAAAAAATATGTATTAGTTAGCTTGACAAACAGTTTAGCAGCCTAGGCTGGTTTTAGCTGGTTGACCAGCCTGGTTTTAGAGGGGTTTTGGCCATTTCCAGGCTGGTTTCCAGCCATTTCCAGCCTGGTCTTAGCTGGTCATCTCCCAGCTTGACCAGCCTAGCCAGGCTGGGAGCCCAACCAAAACCAGCTATGTCCAGCTTAAACCAGGCTGGTTAAGCTGGTTTTAGCTGGATTTAGCTGCTCATTTTCCAGCCTGACCAGCTAAGACTAGGCTTTAAATGGCTGGAAATCAGCCTGGAAATGGCCAAAACACCTCAAAAACCAGCCTGGTCGACCAGCCTAGGCTAGTTTAAGCTGGATTTTTCAGCAGGGATAGGCCACTGTCTGAGCTGGTGTATTTGCATACAGTGATCTGATTGGCTAACGCTTCCGTCGGCGCTTGAAAAGTTGAGACAGTTCCAATTTCTGCAGCGAGCAACACCACTGAAGTGGTGCCGACGGATACACAATGCAGTTTGGTAACGCCTGACGTCACCCATTCCAAGTGAATAGGAAGCGTTGATGCTGACGCCCCGTGTGAATGGGGCATTAAAGGGACTTTGCAGTTAAACAGCACTTGGGAAATATTTGAAAAAGAAAATCAAGTTCCAGACAGGATGTAGTGAATGAGTGCAGCAGTAGTGGGTAATTCATAAGGCACGTGTTTATGGCATGTGTGTTTGAATTATTGAAGAGTGACTCTTAACTGCGTTTGTCCTGTCTCAGTCTCCATCGTTTGGGTCTAGTCCTTCTGGTGCCACATTACCTGGTGGAGCTGCTGTTTCACGCCTCACGACTCTTCTACTTCAGTGACGAGAACAAACAGAAAGGGTTTGTTTACTTCCTGTCTTTCAAATCAATGTGCTTATCTCTGTATTCTACTCATCATTTAGTTTTATGTAAACGGCTTGCTTTATCACCCCAGACACTTGTGCTTCCTCATAGATATATACATTAGATGTCGCCTGGCCTATTGTTGTCTATTGGACGGAATGCGTCAACAGCACCGCCATCTTGCTACAGGGTAGCGCTCCTTTGAAATGAATGCGGGACCAAGGTTCAGTGGAGGACTGTGGCCATCCAAAGCCAGAGATATACACATATACACATATATCTGTGATCGGGAGTTTTCCTGGAAGTTAGTGTGTAAATTTTTTTTCTAATTATGAAAATTATAATTTTACATCACTTTTCTACATTGATGGATCAGTGACCGCACGGGCATTCCTGACAAAAAGCTTGAGTTTGTGTGTACAGAAATGTACTATTCACCCTCCCTGTTAAATTTGATCTAATCATGTCCTGAAACACAGCTCCTCTCCTGTTTTCACTTCTCATACTGACGGAGGGAGCGATTCGTTTGTGAATGAATCCCCGAACGACTCTTTCACTAACGTTAGCCGACAATAATTCAAGTTTCTGGCAGCGCAGCATCTCGTTGTCATATTTCTTTTGCATTTATTGCTGATTTTATTCAACAAAACTAGCATAAGCCGAGTGTTTAGAGCGTGTTGGAGCTACTTTGCTGTATAGTGAATGCAGTAAGTGACTGTTATCATCAATAACGTGACCTGATTAGCACAAAAGTTCAGAACACACAAAAACAGAAAAAAATTAATATTACCTATGAAATGTTCTGCCTTTGTGCTTTGTTTTCTTTGTTTGCTCGTTACTACACCCGTAGACAGCGCTAAAGTCCCACATCTTCACGTAATAACACTGTCTTGACTAGTGCGGTTGAATGACATTTGTCCTGGGAGCACTGTACCAATGTGACGGCGCTATTGACGCATGCTCAGGGTCCCTATGCAATATCTAGTGTATATATCTATGGTGCTTCCTCAGCAGAGATCTCAGTTTTTCAGTGTTTACGTCTTGTTCAGAGGTATTGTCCTGCTTTTTTTTCCTCTTAGGTTTACGCTGTGGGCTCTGCTGTTCGTCATCACCCGCCTCCTGACGCTCACCGTTTCTGTTTTGACGTTTGGTTTTGGCCTGTCTCGCACAGATAATCAGGGATTCTCCTTAGCAGAAGGAAACTTCAATGTGCTGACTGTCAGGTGGGGTGAATATGTATTTATTTATTTAAAGGGGAGCTATTATGCCTCTTTTTACAATTTGTAAAACAAGTCTCTGATGTCCCTAGAGTGTGTATGTGGTTTCAGCTCTCCCACAGATAATGTTTAATGGGGTATATGCCGAAGCATGCTATTAGAACTTTTAATTTGCCAGTTACCTGGGTTAAGCGCTTCCGGTGAATTAAATGCCAGTGCAAAATCTGGTGCATTTAAGGTCTGTTTTCTTTAAAAATCAGCGATCTCCACTGGCTGAGTGATATCCGATTTAAAGTGGGTCTCGGATTGTACAAGAAGCACTACATTAAATTACATTTCCCCCGCCATGTCTTTATAATATGAGCATTTATTTTACCCCAGTATATTTAATAGAGCTTCTGCGTTAGCCTGCCGATTCTGACGAGCGCATGCGAGTAAACGACTTTTTGTCTCGTTTTACGCTTGAGCAACCAGATAAATGCTAAAGTTTATTTAACTGAATGTATTTTAATGACATTACAACATCGATGCTGTATAAGGAACCGTATAAAATGGAAAAAAAGTTCACAATAACAGGTCACCGGAAGTGTATCAGCATGGGAACAGCACCAGCTCGGCATATACCCTATAACTCTTTGAAACTGACCCTTTTAGTCTTTGATCCTAATTGTGCTATTTTGGTGAACGTCGCTTTAAATTCTAATGAGATTGTGCTTTCTTCAAAAGAGGGCAGAGCTACAGATGCATATATGTATCTAACATATATAATATAACAAGACTAATGTCCTATGCCAATGAGGGAGAGATTGTAACTAATAGGTGGAGCTACTCCCTCTGATGACATGTACAAAGGGAGAATGTCATTTAAAGTGTTTCTGCAGAAGTGTGATTATAAAAAATGAAAGTAATACATTTTACCATAAGTAGCTGCTTGTATTCACACACTGTTGCCACACAATTGTGTTTAAACCACTTATAAAGTTATTTTTGCATAATAGGTCCTCTTTAAATTATTATTATATGACTCCAGAATTGCAGGTACATTTTCAGTAATATTCCAATATTAATTTTCCTGAAACTGGAATAATATACAAATGTATAATTTATACTAAACGGAATGTGTTGTTAGTGTAAAATAATGCAAAATGTTTAAATGTTATAGAGAACCTTTGATTCTGTTACTAAAAGCTGTGTTGTACTTCTGTGTCAAGCTCATGCGTATGCTCCGGCGCAGCCTAAGCATGGTCAACTAATGGCGCAAGCTGTGATTGGTCGGCTTGATAGTAGGGTTGGGCTGATAGACGATGCCATCCACCATCGCCGATGGCCAATAGGCAACACGATACTGAGCTGGCATCGACGATCCTCCGCCCCGCCCCCGTCACAAACCTGCTCACGAAAAATACACACTTAGGCCCTGTTTACATTATGTCTTCGTATTAAAATGGCATTTTAGAACAAAAGTGATCCACATCCACACTGTGTTTTACCTAGCATTTCTGAATAGCCCTCCATCTGCTGAAAACGTACATTACGTGACCACAGACACAGCCACACACAGTATATGTGAAGGGCTCATGAAAGAATAAAGTTACGTAAAGAGCAAGCACACCATTGTTTTTCTTGTGAAATTCCCAATAAGTTTGATGTGTCACATGACCCTCTTCCAAATGAAAAACAAAAGTCAGATCCAAGATGGCCGACTTCAAAATGGCCACCATGGTCACCATCCATCTTAAAAAGTTTGCCCCTTCACATATACTAATGTGCCACAAACAGGACGTTAATATCACCAACCATTCCCTTTTTATTAAAGATACCGAAATACTGAACACTCCGGCATGCAAAGATTAACTAATGTGAGTTATGCCGAGTTCAGACTGCATGATTTTATCTCGCCAACAGGTTTTGAGAAATTGCCGACAAATGCCTGAAATCACAGGCAAATCGGTACTCGTGCATGTGTGTGACAATCACATAGCAGGAACTATCAAAGAGGCAATCTGAGAGAATCGCAGATGAGTCGCCGATGCCTTTGAGATATTTTGCGTGCTGAATATCTGTCGGCGATTCAAATCATGCCGTGTGAATTGAGTTTTGACTGAAAATAACATCGGCGATCGCCTACAGCCAATGAGAGAGCAGCATTCACTTGTTTATGTGTACCTACAGGCCAGCGGGAGGCTAGGGGGAAAGTTAAAAGCGCTCACTTTGGTTTATTTGGACCCAAGAAATGGAGGAAAAACTAGTGGAGGTTTGACAGGAGCACCCGTGTCTGTTTGACGTCTCATACAGAAAGTTGAAAAAGAAAGTTGAGGAGAAATTGCTAATTCCCTTCAAACCCAGGTCAGCAAATATGTACAATTTCATCCCATTAAAGGCTTCTTTCTTGCTATGTAGTTAATAACAAAAGATATACTACGTGTTTTTGGCTGTGAGACTTTGGACGAAGTTGTCGGCGATTCTTCCTATAGTAAAGTCATGCAATGTGAAAGCCCCTGTCGCCGATCCATCTTGCAGTGTAAACAAAGCAGCGACCAAACACTAGCCCAGATAGTCGTGCAGTGTGAAAACATCTGTGACGCGACTACTTTGAAAATCATGCAGTCTGAACTCCGCGTTAAACAGTCCTCTCCTCCTAAATTTGAAATTATTACGCTATCAAATCACTTTTAGGATGACATGCCTGTCAGCCATCTGCCTGACCCAGGCCTGGATGATGTGGAAATTCATCAACTTCCAGCTCAAGAAGTGGAGAGAACAATCTCAGATCCAGGCCAGCAAGAAGAAAACGGTCAGTCCCAAAAGCAGACCCAGCAAGAAGGAGTCTCGTGGTGAGTCTTTTCTTTGCCTTTTACAGGACTTTAATGATTTTGCATGATCCTAAAAGCTTTTATTCCTTCCTGACAGGGGGTTCAGTCAATGGAGTCATGAAACCGGACGACAAGACATCGCCGAGAGCAAGGAAATCGAAAGCGTCGTAAAAGGAAACAAGACAGGAGGTTCCCGAAATGTGATGCTCTGTTTCCACTCTACATTTAGATTAGAAACGGATCGATAACTGCGAATCGAACCACAGAAACAAACCAAGGAACTTGGTTGTACCACATGGTTCAGGTGATAGTCCCCCCCCCCAAAGTTTTTCCCTGTCTGCATCTTAAAATTGAACTCTAGTTTTCGAATCTTTCTTTATTCATTTTGATCATTAGATTGAGAGGTTTTCTGAAGGACTATAAGAGATGATGCACTGCGTTACAGATCCCTCACTCATCGATTTGTGTGGTTTGTTTAATCCGGTATCTGCATGACGGAAACGTTTCTGTGTTTTGGTCTTCCTCAGAAGGTGAAGCGTTTATTTTAAAAAAAGTGTCCCCAAGACAGATTATTCACATTATTTCTGCGCTTCTTATGAAACACCCAGCGTGTGGAGAGAAGCGTCCTTTGTTAAAACCTTTAGCCCATCAGTCCTATACGCTGCTATGAAACTCCAATATAACGAGGCTGAGGTGGCCGAGGACTGCTTCTACACAACTCTGGCGATGATACGTAGCTTTTAAATGACCTTAGCTGTGTCATTTTTACATTTGGATATACTGAGAGCAGGATGGTACGTGAATGTCGTTTGCGGAGAATCTTCGTAGCAAAGAGGTAAAGCGGTTTGTTAGAGCGCCCCCTAAAGGCTCGGATGATGCTAGCAGTTTTTCTTTTGTTGCATTTAAGTACTGATCGTGGGTTAATCATTTCTGAGCGAATGTTTTTTTATGGACTGTGGTTGGGTGATGGCTCCCCCTGCAGGCGTGGAGGGTGGACTTGCATGCCTTTTACTGCATTTTAGCCAGAGAGTGGTTCACATGCTCACCCAGGACTATTAAAGAGCATTATTCTGGTGCTTATCATGGCTACCATATGATTATTCATACATCAGCGGGGGCGTCGCTTTTAGTTGCAGTTAAGACATTGTGTAAGTGTGGATTTAGCTTCAGAAAACCGCCTTTTGGGAAGTTTTTTTAGATTAATGACAAATCATAAGAGGGTTTGAATGCAGGATGTACAGGGTGGGCCATTTACATGGATACACCTTAATAAAATGGGAATGGTTGGTGATATTAACGTCCTGTTTGTGGCACATTAGTATATGTGAGGGGGCAAACTTTTCATGATGGGTGGTTAGCATGTTTGCCATTTTGAAGTCGGCCATCTTGAATCCAACTTTTGTTTTGTCAAGGAAGAGGGTCATGTGGCACATCAAACTTATTGGGAATTTCACAAGTAAAACAATGGTGTGCTTGATTTTAACGTAACTTTATTCTGTCATGAGTTATTTACAAGTTTCTGACCACTTATAAAATGTGTTCAGTGTGCTGCCCAGTGTGTTGGATTGTCAATGCAACCCTCTTCTCCCACTCTTCACACACTGATAGAAACACTGCAGGAGAAATGCCAGCACACGCTTCCAGTATCCGTAGTTTCAGGTGCTGCACATCTTGTATCTTCAGGTGTTTTCTCTCACCTGTGACTCTATGAAATCTACTCATTTCCACTGCGGTGTGTAGTTCATATCAAACCATACGGTTCTTTAAGTGTCCTTAAGTAACAACAATAGTAGTTGTGGTCTTTCTTGGTTTCAGTACTGTTCGGTTCTCTGTGCGTCTGTGTTGTTTATTAGTGTGATGAGAGATTTTGATATATATTTTTTCCTTGTTGAAATGCCGTGGACGTGTGCATGTTGCAAGAATTGCCTTGTTCTTCGGATTGCTAATATAGGGTGCTGCCCACTTTGTTGTTTCCCATTCATTTTCCCATAGGGATTTCTAGAGGCTGAAGCATTATAAGCCATGAACTGAATTACAAACTTCGATTCTAATATAAGCGTACACATTCATACTTTAAAAATAGCTTTGGACTAATTTAAAGGGATAGTTCACCCAAAATTGTAATTTACTCTTCATCAAGTGGTTTTAAACTTTTGAGTTTCTTTCTTTAAAAAAAAACAAATGTTCCATATTATTAGTTTTTTCTACTATTGAAGTCAATTGTTACTGGTTTCCTAAATTACACACACACACACACACACACACACACACACACACACACTCACTCACACAAATATATATATATATATATATATATATATATATATATATATATATATATATTAATTAGTGGTGGGTCGTTATCAGCGTTAGCGAGCTGCGTTGATGTAACCCATTCACACGGGGCGTCAACGATTCCCATTTACTTTGAATGGGTGACGTCAGGCGTTGCCGAACTGCATTGTGGATCCGTCGGTGCCGATTCAGAGGCGTTGCTTACTGCAGAAGTTGGGACTAGCTCAACTTTTCAAGCGCAGACGGAAGCGTCAGCCAATCAGATCTCCGTATGCAAATACAGCAGCTAGACAGTGGCCTATTGTTGACTGTATTTCATTGGCTGACGCTGCTATGATGATTGCTTCAGCCCCAACTTCTGACATGCCTTCAGTCAAGCATTGATGCTGAAGCCACGTGTAAATGGGGCGTTATCGGGTGTCTCTCCACACCACCACCAATGTGCAGCTTCCACTTGGATGATGCGACGGCTGCCACCGTGCGCTCACCACACACCAGCTATTGGCAAGTGACAGTAATAGAGCCAATTCGGTGGATGGGCCATGATCGTTAGGGCCGATAGTGAGACTTTGGCCAGGACACCGGGGTTACACCCCTGCTCTTTCACAAGAAGTGCCATGGGATTTTTAATGACCGCAGAGAGTCAGGACCTCGGTTTAACGTATCATCCGAAAGACGGTGCCCACTGACAGTGTAGTGTCCCCTTCACTTTTACTGGGGCATTAGGACTCACAGGTTGAGCGCCCCCTGCTGGCCTAACTAACACCACTTCTAACAGCAACCTAGTTTTCCCAAGTGGTCTCCCATCCAGGTACTGACCAGGCTCAGCCCTGCTTCGCTTCAGTGAGTAACCGGTCTTGGCCTGCAGGGGGATATGGCTGTGGCTACTAAATTGGCAACTAAATACAATCCAATAAGGCATTGTCGGTGACTCAAATTAATTATACGGACAACATCAAGATGTTTTTTCAATTGTAAGTAGTTTAATAAATCTACAGAAACATTATATTAAACAATGGCTAATGTTTGTTCAAATTGTATGTCCCTATGGAGAAAATGAAGGGAGGTTTTAATTCCGGAACTGTCGCTTTGTGAGGCATGAAATAAAAAGTGGCGTTTACGTTTTGGTTTATATAACTCCGTGTGCAAGCAAGACACAAACTGCCAGAGATTTCACTTATTTCTGAACCCTGCCTTCACAAACACACACACAAACAGCATGTGGTGTAAATCGGTTGCCAAATTGTATGAAAGGGGCTTTCTGTACTTCCAGTTCTTTTAAAATCTTCTGTACACATTAGAAACCATTTGGTTCTCGGTACAGTCTGCAGCTCGTGCCTAAATCTGTGGCGATCCAAATCAGCCAGTTCATTGGCTTTTGTTTTTGGTTAATTTGTAAGAGAGCTCGGGAAAGCAGATGCCATTTTCATTTTAAAAAAAACATAAAATGACCTTTTAACACTCACAGTTCAGGATGTGTACACTGTAAAAAACAATTGACTGCATTTTTATTTTGGTTTAACTTATTTTAATAAAGGTGAACAGGTTTCAAAATAGTTATACAAAGTTTAACTTAAAATTCTTGTCGGTTTGATTGATGTAAGTTGAGATGAAAAAATGAAGTCAGCGAGACTTTTTGCTGTGTTTTTGACACACTCAAAATTATATTTGCTGTTTGTTCAAACGTCTAACTTAAAATGAGCTGAAACAACTCAATCGAGTTTTTTTTGGGGGGGACAACCTAATTCTTTTATGTTCAATCCACTTAAATCTGTACAAAAAATAATAATAAGTTTACCTAATTTCTTCATGTTGCCCCAACACAAATCGATTGTGTGGAACCAAGCGTTTTTTACAGTGAACAGTAGTACATAAAATGCATTCATACACACTTAAAAACACACTGACACACACACACACACACACACATATATATATATATATATATATATATATATATATATATATATATATATATATATATATTTATATATACACACACACACGCACACGCATATATACATACAGTTAGGTTCATAAATATCTGGACATCCACACAATTCTAGCAGTTTTGGCTCTGTACACCAACACAATGGATTTGAAATTAAACTGCTGACTGTCAGCTTTAATTTGAGGGTATTTACATCCAAATCAGGTGAACGCTGTATAAATTACAACAGTTTGCTAATGTGCCTCTCACTTGTTAAGGATCCATAAGTAATTGGTCAGAATAATAATAATTACTCAAACGTTCACTTTTTTAAATACTTGATTGCAAATCCTTTGCAGTCAAATGCAGCCTGAAGTCTGGAACGCATAGACATCACCAGTTGCTGTGTTTCGTCCCTTGTGATCCTCTGCTAGGGCTCTACAGCAACTGTCTTCAGTTCTTGCTTGTTCTTGGGGCGTTTGCCCTTCAGTTTTGTCTTCAGCAAGTGAAATGCATGCTCAATCGGATTCAGGTCAGGTGATTGACTTGGCCAGTGCATGACATTCCACTGCTTTCCCTTCAAAAACTCTGGTTGCTTTTGCAGTATGCTTTAGACCACAGGTGTCAAACTCCGTTCCAAAAGGGCCACAGCTCTGCACAGTTTAGTTCCAACCCTAATTAAACACACCGGATCAAACTAATTGAGTCCTTCAGGCTTGTTTGAAACCTACAGGTAAGTGTGTTGGAGCAGGGTTGGAACTAAACTGCAGGGCTTCGGCCCTCCAGGAATTGAGTTTGACACCCCTGCTTTAGGTCACTCTCCATCTGCACTGTGAAGCACTGTCCAATGAGTTCTTAAGTATTTGGCTTAATATGAGCAGATAATATTGCCTGAATCACTTCAAAATTCATTCTGCTGCTTTTGTCAGCATCACATCATCAATAAATACTAGAAAACCAGTTCTATTGACAGCCATACATGCCCACTCCATGACTCTACCATCACCATGCTTCACTGCATATGATCATGATCATTTCCTTTCATTCTCCACACTCTTCTCTTCCCATCACTCTGGTACAAGTTGATCTTGATCTCATCTATCCATAGGATGTTGTTCCAGCACTGTGAAGGTTTTTTAAGAACTCTAATCTGGCCTACTTGTTTTTGAGGCTCACCAATGGTTTACATCTTGTGTAAACTCTCCGTATTTACTCTGGTGTAGTTGTCTTTTGATTGTTGA